ATATAGGCATTTGGTTTCAAAAAATCGCAGAAAACATGAGTGTACTTTTCTAACTAATTTAAATCTGCGCCATTGATTACATCGTTCAGTATATAGGATAATTACTAGCCATAACACTGAGACAGCGTTCAACGCAAATCGATTAAGAAAACTAGCTTCATAAGCTAGTTTTTTTCAAAATCATAATGAGAAGACGTCAAGGTCCAATGTATAAGACTTTTTGGTAAATTGCCGCGCGATCTGCTAAAAGCAATTCTATTTTGATGAGCATATAGTGATCATGACCGATTCACAAATGCAAAATATCTAGGTAAGTTATTGGACTAAATAGTTACATATAACTAGAACCACGTCAGTAAGTTTTGAAAGGGCGAAGAAAGGAAATTTTCTATGAAACGAAACCGCAAGGTTTTGCGTTTACAGCGACCCAGAACGCTGCTATCGGATGTCAGATAAAAACGCTGTCTTGTAAAATTTAATCGCGTCGCGTGCAAAAAATTAGACATTTTTCGGCAGATTTACAGTATTTGAATGAATGAATGATTTGGTAAAGTACAAAATATTCATAATTTGGTCACTGGTTGTACCGAGGCAGCATGTATGATAAGGACCTGCCAAAGAAACGCTATTACTAACTCACTGGATATAATGGGAGTTTATAACGTGCATTTTTTATGAGCTGTACTGCATCCAAAGGTTCATTGTGGCGAAGGTTTTGAGGCGCCGATAGTTTTTTAGCCAAAAGCCATTCCCTAGATAACTGTTTATACTCATTTTTTTCCGTTTGAGTTAGACATTGACACTCCAGTTTGTTTGCGGCAGCGTTCTGAGGCGTGGTGGCTAGACAGTTTTACTTGTTTAATTGTTTGGTTCAAAGGCACAGAGAGTACAACATTGCAATTGGTACGTTTACTGTGTCAACATACTGGTGGGAATAGCATATACCTGTACCCTCTCTCTCTCCCTCTCTCCCGATTTACGCTGTGAACGCGGTCATTACGCCGCGGTTCGCATCGTCGGAACTCACAAATGTACAGATCTTCGGAGAAATTTTTTCCCTTCCCATTTAACCAAACTACGTATTATGTTAGATCATCGAATTAGTGCAAATTTATCAGTCATTATTCACTAAGGCGGCCTATATTCTTTTTGTCTGTCACAGTCGTGCGGAAGCTATTGCCTCTAGGTAATGATATGTCACTTGCCCCCACCTCTAAATTCACAACTATTTTATTGTCTATTGTAGAATTGGCATGGAAAATTTGATTTTGATGAGAAATTTTGCCCGTTACGCGACAACCCTACGTTGAGCTCTTTACACTCAAAAATAGCGGGCTCATAGGTATCTCATCAATTGGGTGTCTAAAAAACACAGGTTTAATAGAACTAAATGGTTGCTGTAAATTTAAGTAAAAAAATAAAACTGTTAAAGCCAAAGAAATGACAGGAGAAATATACATTTCATCCTAATATCGGCATAATTTGTGCGCTAATCGATTAGAATCCCGTTATATTAGTAGAATCAACGTTACCTCACCGTTATAAATCTGATGCAAAGGTAACAGAAATAAGTAGCAAGTACCCTTTTCAAGTTTGAAAAAATAATGGCTTTTTCGAGACTCAAGAGCCTCCTGGTGCCCAAAAAAGTTCCGTAGGGTCATACTATAGAGTCCACAGTATACGTGGATTAGTACGCGTATACATACATAAATATTGCTCGTTGAAGCTCTTAAAGTAGCAAAAAATGCTACAAAGAAAATTAGATGTTCATAATAGAGTAATCATATTTTAATCGAGTGAAAAAGACACAGTTACGTATCGTCTATCGTTTGTGTCGTCCGTCAAAATGGCGTCACTTGAATATTTCGAATTTTACGTCCGTCAATGCGTCACAATTGCGCCATGTCGAACTCGGGCGATTAAAACAGGCCGAAAGTGACTGGCCACATGTGGCCTTTTCATTTGACTTTAGCCAAATTGTCCTTTTGTCTGGATTAATAAACATCTACGTTTCGGATGGCGAGAACGTCAAATAGACTTTTATATACGCTTTTGTAATGCAGAAACCTGCGGAGGTGTAATATCCTGAGGATTTTACAAATTTAGTTCGTCTGTATTAAGTGAATGTAATACACAAGCAAATACAGATTTAGGATTCGTTATATTTTGTTGTTTTCTAGCAGCTCCTTCTGCGACCGAAAATATTAGCGGACAGAAAACTGCTGGCGCATGGGACGTCCCGTGATAAAACAAATAGGAATTTAAATTTCTGTAGAGGACAATGCGTATTCTATAGGTTTCGTTCAAGCTTCTTGAAAATGCCTCATGTTAAATTAATAATACAAAATATGTATTGCCAAGTCAGATTTACTGGGTTGAATTTAAGATTAGCTGCAGAGCTTCTGTATTTGAATAGATAAAGTATTTAAGGGTAGAACTATTAATGAAGTCTTTGATTCCATGTCTAGCCGCCTGTTTCATAATTGATATTTGCGGCTAGTTCACAAGATGCACCAAATGTTGCCAGTAGTTAGAAATTACAGAAACAATTTCATGGCCGAATAGAACTTTCGACGTAAGTTTACTGGTAGAAACTCTTTACCTTAAGGATTTACACGCATACACAAAATTCTTACCAATTAAAGGTAAAGGATATCATCTCGTTGCGTTGACTTGGCTGTCGAGGCCGTGCGGAGTCCATCCGTCTGTTTTCACATTTTGATCAGCTTGTTTAAGTTATGTTCTTGCGTTCTTAACGCCGTCAGCTTTGTCGGCACTTATAATATGTATGCCATAGATAACTTGTGCATTTGCGCTTACCGCCTTTACGGGTTGTTTACAAGGTTTTTCAGTCAGTATCTGGCTACCTGAGGCTAATTATCCTTGTTTTTTAAACAAAGTTCCAGCTGCTACGTTTAAGGCGGAAGGTAGTTATCATAGGTCTGTGAATCTTCTAATCGCGCAGCTGTGGAAAGCGGTTTACTGTGGCCCACCACAACAAAACATCAGGGCACTATTACTATGAGCCCTTCATTTATCGTTTGCACTATTTCGAACGCAGTCGCTACCCTCCTTACCTGTCAATATTTAATCTTGTCCCGAGTTCAAAGACCATACGGCTGTAAAAATGCATAGCGTCAATAAATGGAGAAGGCTGTATAAACGTTCTGTTTAATTTAGTGTCTGAATGACCTCTAAGCGAGAACTATGGGTTTATTGTTTTTACTATTAGTTCTTTTTTTTAGGGATTACTTAAATTTGTCTTATAATAATAGGACACTAAAGATATGGCCTCTGCTATCATTTATGCATAGGAAAAAATAATTGATGTATGTAATAGAATCAGCTAGTAGAGTGCACCGGACAAACGCGGCCAATCTTCAAAACTAAAATGCTTTATATGTCAGGTCAAGTTTACGTTACACTTGAGCTAAAACGCCAAATAGCGATACGTTTCGATAAACCGAGTTAGATTGGGGTTAGGTTTGTCCACAAGCGTGACACAGGAAAATTGGCTGTTACCTTTCATACCATATTAAATTGTGTTTGCTTGTGCTATACCAAATGATTTGGGTGTGCTTATGGTCAACGTTTTACTGATAATCAATGCGAAGGAAATTACCTTCTTGATTTAACTCTGGTCCGGACAACGCTCAGTTAAATATAATATTAATCAGAAAAACATTTGGGATGTAACCGTCTTCTTTGTTAAAGGATCATTTCATTTACCAAGACCTTAACGGCGCGTTAGTGTTCGAAGACGTTTGCCCCTGGACACTGTCTGTTTACGTCTTTCTGGGTGTATTGGACGCACGTGAGTGCACGTGTATCTATACCAAACATGGCGAAGTCAAGAACTCTATGTCGACAACAAAGACATCGTCGGAAGCTCTCGATTGAATCCATCGGCAACTATAGGTCTTCGTCTGAGAGATTTCTATTCAATCGGCAAGTTAGTGAGTCGTTTACACTGCGTAAATATGCTACAAACGACCGTGTATCTTTTATCCGTATGTTGCCTTGTGTTGAAAGTCGGGAAGGCCGAAGAGGGTGAACACAAGTATAACTCTCATGGGAAGAACGTAGCAGGACTGCCAGGCAAACATAATTCTTTTTTATGGTTCTACAATATTTCTAAAAATTAGCCTAAGCAGAAAGACAGGCAGTATCAAAATATCCATGCACAGTAGCCTGGAAATGTTTGTTTCCTATGCTTGTTTGAACCTATTTATCTTGAAAAGCTTGTTTGAAAAACTAAAAAAACACTCAAGACGAAGCTTCAACTTTTGGCTATTTTTGAATAAGTTGAAGATTCTAGAAAAATGTTTCAACTGTCCTCATATTTACAAAATTTCACGCATATTTTACTAGCCATTGGATAGAGCCGTAAACAAAATTGCACGAATATTTGACAATTTAGATAGAATTAATCCTATAGTCTTAAATTGATGCGTATGACAGCAAGTTCGGAATGGCTTTAATGATTTTTTTTTCAATCTTTTACATATAGTCTTGGCTGGATACTGAAATAATATAACGGAAACACAATGCTCTGGAGAATTGTTTTAAAAAAAATAACTAAATACATTTTAGTGTAAATGAAAGACAACTTTGTGAGCAGTTGTCCCAACAGCAAAATTGAAAATTCGTCAAATATTCAACGCAAACGTTACCTCGTTTTACAGATTATACACAATGTGTAGAAAGTCGTATTTTTGAAGTAAAAAAATCGATATTTTTCTGTTTTTCTACGCACTTTAACACAATGCCCTTTGCAAAAAATCGTAAAACGTATGAACGCTTTTACATCGCTTCCTGGCTTCGTTTCTTAGGCCGCCTAATACAAACAGCGAATTTCGAAAGCCAAGGTCAGTCTCATTCTGAGAGAGCTGAGTAGTCTCGAAACGCCTTTCGGGTAAGATGTAGCACAGTAAGGGCTTAATCGCAATAGGATCATAGGAATCCATACGAAAGGTCAGAGCAAATGCTCTGTGACCACAACATGAGCTAACACGATAAGGCGATATCTAAATCAAAGCACCTGAATCCTGAATCCAATTGCTAATAGAGGGTAATGAGGTGGCACAATAAAGGAATCTAACGATTAAGCAACGCACCGGGTTTAGTGAAATAGGCAAGGCGGTAAATGAACCACAGTGGAATACTGCAGTGGTATGGACAATATTTAGTACAGTAACTAGAAATAGTAAAACGTTTGATGGAACAGCTGCATCAATTGGGGTTTTGAGTTCGTATGAGTATGTATTAAGTAGATAAGATATAATACGGTCAGATTCAGGGGAATGACATAGTGCTTTTGGACGGCGCCGGTTGTGCCATAGTGCACAAAAAATACGTAAATAGGTCCTCGTGTTCGTAGGTAAGAGCGGTCAGACATTGCGCATGTGCGGTATTAATCGTTACCATAAGGTCGAGTGGCAACAACCACTTGGTTTCGCAATTGCATAGTCTTACCTAATACTTGATGTATGTTGCATGTATTTTACATGGTGCACAAATTTGTTTGGCCTAGTTATGCTAAAATATGCACTAAATGCGTAGTTCCAACATAGCTAAGGAAAATGAAGAAGTGGAGATGTTATGTGATGTATGACTTTTACATGTTGTTACTGTTTATCTCTTTACTGTAGAACATTGTACCAGCCTTATCGTCGGAGGCTGGCTGACAGAGGGCTGGGGCTATGGTGGCTCTTTTACGTCAGAAAGATGGGCGAGCTAGGACGACGAATTGTGTAGCAGGCATGGAGGTGATTGCTTGTGAGCATCGACAGTGAGACAACCGTCCATAATATGTTCCTCAAATCTCACTTCAAAGGCTATCATACACCGCTAGATTACTCCATTGTTGTCACGTTCATCATTAGAGCTAAATGCTTTAAAATACTTATGCGCTTCTTTAAGATGTGCAGGAATAAATAGTGGCAGATCTTCTAGCTGCCTTAGTTTTCCTGCTTCAATGATTCTCACCTGAACACTATTATTAATGATGGAGTCGATCCAGAATTGATTTAGATTCACTAACGCCTTACGTTGCACTGAACAAAACGGAGATGTTAAGATTAAGAACACAATATGTGACTCTGAAGAAGCAGAAACAGCATATTGCAGTAGACGGCTATATTATCGGCTAGTCGTACTATTGGCATCTAAACTGCTCTCATTTTTTCTGCAAGTTTCGATTCGCACACAAGTTTTTTTTTTTGTATTGTTAAGGTGTATTCTTCGTGAAAATTTGCCCGCTCCAACATGTCCTGGGAGGGTAGCGCAAAGAAAAGGCCTTGACACGCTATGAACCGACCAGCATTCGCCATCCAGGTGAAGCTTGACTAGGCCTTAGGCCTAATGATACTTCATTAAAACCTGTAAAATACATTATTGGTATTAATATTTCACCTGTCGTGTTAAAGCAAGAATGTTATACAAATGTACTTTTTAAGCAAGTCTGCTTGCCCTGTACAACTGAACAGTTAACATACTATCGTAGTCAAATATTACGCCTTACGTTTGTCTTTATTTTATGTATCAATGGATGTCATCACAGTTTCATATCATGCAGTACGCGGCCGAGTGCAGCAACCTTTGAGCGTCTTCGGTTATGCGGACGGTGTCTATGCTCCCTCTATACATTTTGAGGTTCGTATTCGAGTGCATCACTCACTCATAACTGTCATTTTTCGTACCAATTTTTGTACGGATCTACTTCAGTGAACAGACAAAGCCACATTGACCGGCCTTGGAGTTCAGGTATATACATGGTTTATTCCATAACCACTAAAATAACTTACCCCTGAGAGCTCTATGTACTGTATTTGAAAACCTACAAAGCGTAAAAATACTACGACCCTTTGCTGCATACTAAGTAATTATCATCCTCTACAGCTTGATTTTTTTTACAAAACCTTCATTGTAAATTCTAATATGGGCGTATCGATCAAGGAAATTAGCTGCTATTCCCTGTCAGTAAAAAGAAAAGCAAGCACATAAACGAAAATATAGCAAAACATTCGACTGTAGACCTGTTCTCAAGCATGGCAGTTATCAAGACTCAAATATTATTAATTCATGTCATTAGTTATGGTACCCTGCCCTTTTAAATTATTTTATCAAAATTTCTGTTTAAAGTATTTCAGTTAGCACCTACTAATGATCTGCACTGCTCGACATATAACGGTCTCCAGAAGCTACACGAACAAGTAGCAACAATTTCGTGTGCATATATCTTGTCAGAGTTAGTACATGGCTTAGCTTCAGTATTACGAATACACTAACCCAATATAGGCTTGTACTTGAACTGAGGTAAATAGCTTCAAGAGCCTTGACATCGCTAACACCTGCGTCACGTTGGATCGACTTTGCAGGAACACCATATATTATCCGAGGAAAAGTGCACGCCGCATGGCTAAGCAGCTCTCCCATAACTCCGGTATTATCAACAGTCACGCGTTTAACACACAAATTGGCCCACGTCATAAAGAAGCCTCGTCAGGGATTACTGACCATTCCGATGCGCAAGGGAGCCGTACAGTGGATCGCCTGCACTCATCCTTTGAAGTTTCATTGAAGCAACCTCATACAACAAGCATATAAAAGTGATATTATTCTTTCGGTAATTTAACAAGATTATTTAATCTAGATGTTTTATCGTTAATGCGTGACAGCTCACTATAATTTAGCCACTGTGCTATCAAATGTTCTTGCGTCCATCTGAAACGAATACTGCGAGTGCTTCGAACGCAATATGTATGCATAGACAAAAATATCTAATTATTTCTGTTTTTTACGTGGAAAATTTCATGCATCGAAACTTAGAAAATCTAACTTACTGTTTAGTATTATCGTATTTAAAGGGAAAAGAGACTAGCAGAAGGCGGAAAGTCAATGAAGTACATAGCAAACTTTTTTTTTTTCGTAAGAGCTTCTAAACAGCCTCGCTGTGGCTTGAGTAAATCCCTTTGACAAGCCAAATATAAGCTTCGAGTCAATCTGTTTACTCGGGAGATAACAATTTTTGGTTTCGCCACTAAACGTGACTATCCTTATAGACGTACGCATAACGTGAAGAATAGCTAAAACTTCAGTTATTATTCCAGTGTGGTTCGATGACCTCATTGGATTCATGGCGTTAAAACCAAAGGGAGGAATTCACTTCATTGTCCATCTCTTTTATTTAGCGAGTCTGTATTTTCCTCCATTCCTGCAAGTGGCTCAGGAACTTCAATCGCTAGCCATACTGAACACCAAACAAAATACTTTCCCTCGCTCATCTACTGCGCAAATTCTCATATGGTGTTTAAAGCAGCGAATGTTTACATCTATGTAGAATTTATTCATTCAAAGCACTTGCTATCCTAATAGAGTATCAAATAATTCTCGTACCTGATGGTTACCATCTATTTCAAGTGCCACTTTTCTATTTTCTATTTTTCCTTCAGCAGCCTCGATCATTGGTGGTATTGGCGAAATACGAAGAGCGTTCATCTATTTCGTTGCGGATGAGGCCCATTCGCAGGTTCCACGACCGGAGTGGACATAGACTTTTGCAAAACACTCGCCTGGCTCAGAGGCTCAGCGGTAGAACTATTTTTCAGAGTTTAGAAGTGCTATTAGCTAAAACATGGGATGGCCCCATGCCCATGGGAATGCACTTCAAGCGATGCTTGCTAGCTACCCAAATAACGGTGCCTGTTAAGACTTCCCTAATGCATCATGTTCTACTTACATGACTATAGAAGTCTGAACGAAGAATTTGGTGTGATACTGGGAGGAACTAAATAAATGTCCGTAGAATTTGCGATTGTACTAAGTTCTTCCTCTTGTGAGTAAGCCTTCCATGCAAAAAAAGCATTGAGTATTTTGCATGCTCAGATGATTGATAAGCTCACATTCCGCCATATACATAATCCATTGCTAAGGATTGAAGAACTCTGTCAATATAAATTTATGATCGAGATCTCCCTCAGACGATCAAGAAGGTCGAAATCCCTTATGTATCTGCCGCTTGCAACACGACGTACGTGTTCTCGAAAATGCGGCCCAAATTGTTTTCCGTTGATCTATGCAGATGCTTTGTATAGTTTGACAGTGATCTATAATTTGCTGAGAATATACCTACGAATGAGAGAATTTGGTTTGGATTAGGCAACTGAATATGAATCAGTTTCATATAGGAATGCTTGCATAGTCTACAAAAAAATACGCCACGAATGTTTCATGAGAAATGTTATGAATAGGAAAGACCACGCTGGGTTAATACTGACGAACGAGACTTGACGAACCTTTTAACACCCATTAGTATCTTGTAGACTTACTTGGACTAATACAACACTGCCAAATAGAACAATTGGGAAAATTAGGCTGAAAAACGGTTAGCCAGGTACAACACGTTTCTAAAAAAGCTAGACGTCTAAATGGATTTGTCATGGGAAAGTTGTTAAATGCTTATCTCCCCTTTAGGAGACCCGATTTTTGGCCGATTTTACGTAAGATCCATTCTGAATAGCGACACCGCATTCGTCGCAGGCTTAGTGTCCGATCCTTATACAATGGTATAATGTCTTGTCGCGTATGTTACTGTTTCTGACGCAGCTATTGGTTTTAATGTTGGGTTACATTTGACAATTTTGGAAAATATGAATCGTGAAGCCTTCTCATACTGTGAACACAGTACGGAAATACAAAATATGTGTATATATTATTGATAGCATATAACGCCATTAATTATTCTTTAGTTATTTTCAATAATAATACGTTACATTCACACATTACTTTCTCTCCAAGATCCAAGTATTTGTGGCTGGTGTGACTAGGCGTCGTAGCTAGAGAAAAAGACTAGAATTGTAAGACTGCTGGGTTAAACTTTGGCTCCTATAGTAGTCTGCTTACATAGATTCGGAATAATGCATATACATCGTTTTGCTTATTTCGAAATTTTGTTTATACAACATATGCTGATTAGTTTGACAGTGATCTATAATTTGCTGAGAATATACTCGACTTGACTTGAGAACATTCTGAGTGCCCTCTGTCACCTAAGCAAGTTTTTAGAAACGAATAAATATTGCATTGTACCCGGTCAATGGGAAATTTACGGTGTATCGGAATTAGCAACTGCGAAAGACCCGCCAAGGCGTCCGGGATCCAATCTGTTTCACTTCTGTATCTGTATGTTAAGTTAATAGATTGATATAACGTTTTCGAGTGGATCGTCTAAATGCTAGACGTGGAGGAAGTCTGCTGCAAATACTAAGACATGTCATTAGAAAAATGCCGATAAATTTCATCGCTTTCCGCCTGATCCTGTTGGGCATTCAGGTCTTATAAAACACTGACAGGGAAAGCTCCGTGGATTTTCTAATTCATCCTATAACGTTACAGGTTGTTATCGTAAATGATATACCTTTTTATAATCATCAGCTGGTTACTTTCAGAATGCAGTAGTTGGAAGTAGTTATTTGTATTGACTCTGTACCCTTTTAGCAGTACCAGCACATAGGCAAGCAATCATGTTGGCAGTAGTATTTTGAAAGCAGAATGGAATAGTTAGATATGTAGTTATGACCGCAACTTTACAGATTACTCGTGCATCCTTGCTTATCATTTACTTTATCACAAGACTTTTTTTTTTTTTCTCTGTATTAATTTCGGTACGAATAAATGTGTGTCAGAAATTATTACTCAATCGAAAAAGTATTAATTTTTGTCACTCAAACAAATACGACAGAGTGCCCAGTTGTGCAGAGTCGTCTTTGTCTAGGGAAACATATTTCATCACCTTGGACATCGACGTTCTTCCTAAAGTGCTGGATCTATAAAACAACAAAAACCTCTTAATGTCAAAAACAGTTTTCACTAACGTAAAGCGATTGCAGGTGTTCTGCAAGAAAATGCCTAAGGCCATGGGAAAGTACTAGTCTAGTATAAGACTATATAACGTGTAAAACGATGCAATTTTTTTTGTTGCTATAATTACGCGGCTATGTTTATTTGTATAATGTCAACCTTCATTACCGAAAAAATACAGGATATATATATATATATATATATATATATATATATATATATATATATATATATTATTACGTTTGTTGAATATTATCGACAACTGATCATAACTGTGTATTACCACGTTTGCGCCAGTTACGTATTCTTTACTTCTCTTTCAATCTATAATTTTAGCGAACAAACAGCCTTCTGTTTAGGCTCATCAATAGGAATTAATTTCACTATAGTTGATGTTACGTCATAACGATTAACATCATTCAATCCTTTCTGACTAGCGTAAATCCGTTAGATCATAGAGAATGAATAAAAAAAAAGTACTATCGAGCTGAATGCAGGTGCTACGTAGGCAGGAGCTAGAAGTAAAAGTTACAATCATTTATTTGACGATACAAGACTAGCTTGTTTCTGATTATGTGCTTTATATAAGGTTGCCGCCGTGTTCAATACTGTGTGATCCCGAAATACTCTACATCGATAAGTTATATATCCTCAGCTATGTCAATTACTTGAAATAACCTCGGAGGACGTTAAAGGATATATCTTCCGCGTGATGCTTCGAAGGAACCTATGAACTCAGATGAAAACGTGCGATTAAGTTAAATGGCAAAGTTCGAACTTACAACAGGCGAAGATTTATCGAAGCCTAATATGGAAGGTATCCTTTTGGCCAATGTAGAATCAGTATGTAGAACAGTTCTATATTCCGGTGATAAATACGGCAATCCGGTCGACGAATGATGACGTTCCAACGTTCGCTAGATTCAAACTGAATTTCGAATCGAGCAAAATTACGAGGAAAAGTTTGACCCACCGTTATACAAACATTGTCGTTGCATTGTTACAACGAGATCGGGAGCACTCAGTTTTATGTGAGATCACATTAATATGTGATACGATATATGTGATGGCTCAGCGTTCTTCGAAGGGCCTTATAAAATTTTTGACGACGTGAAGTAAGTATCTCTGTTTGCCGGTGACAATAGTGTGCTGACCGATCATTTTATAATCCGTAAGCAGGGCTCAGTGTAATAATCAAGCCGTGATCTTCTGAGACAAATATTTACAGTTTGACAAAAGAAAAGTCAAAAATTGACTTCTAGCCGTTCCTCTGAACAATACCTTATTGGTCTGTTAAGATGAACATTATGTTTGAATCAAGATTATGTTGACCTCACTCTCTTTACCAATCGCTCAATGAAACACAATCGGTTTTTGTAAATCCCGGTTCTAAGATCAAGCATAACGGCGCCCTTGTTTTTAAGATGTCAACTGTTAGTACTAAAAGAATTTTTCAGGTATTTACATTACCTCTTAAAGCGAATAACCATTATTTATTAATTCCGCTCACTATCAGACACTCTCAAGAGACATCCGGCGACGAACGTTGTCGTTGACCGCATTTAGGTGAGAACGTTTCTAGAAAACTGAAGGAAAAAATGGAGCTGTTCCAGCTTCTGCGGTCCTACGGATACGCCTTTCAACAATATAACCTATGTCCTATAGCATCTTTTGTTTTTGAGTTCAAATTGCAAAATCTAGGCAAAATGCCAACATGAGGAAACTAAAAAAAGCAATCGAATAGAAAAAGGCAAATAATAAATTATGGATAAAAAAAAAAATGCAACATTTCACTATCGTACTCTTCGCAACAGGATACTGTTTGTTGCCCTTTTAGCAAATACAAGCGACCAATAGGCTAACAATAGCTGCAGAAGTTAACCTTTTACAAATCGTATACGCGCATCGTTTAGCTGGGTCTCGAGACTGGACACAATGACTACACAGCGCTGTCCTTTACGCTAGACATGCACCACAAGCAAAAAAATATCAAATGGTCTGGACTAAGCATTCTTAATTGTTGAATAAAGTTGTTAGTTGGTGTCCTAAGGCTATCGAGCCTATTAAATGGAATAGGCATAAGATTAGGCCGCAAAGGCCGGCTGAAGGGCACCCTATACAAAAGACAGCCGAAACCACAAAGCAAGCATCACGCAAAGCGGATTTGCCTATTATTGCTTTCAACGATCGTACAGTCGGTGTCCCTAGAACAAACAGCGGACTACACTTTAGCCAGGCTGCCCGAATCTGCAGATTTACTTTCATTGAAATGGTCCTTCTAGGCTACTGGTCTAACTGCACTTACTTTTGGATATATATATAGTCCAATAGGTGCAAACATGTCACAAGCTCAAAGTCGATATTGGAATAAAGCAAAAATGTAATATATACTAAAACGCCTTGTGTTAAAGTTAGGTACGTCATTTCGTAGTGATTTCGGCTGCGAAACCTAAGTCGATGACCTAAGGCATAAATTAACTAAGTTAAATTAGCATTGAAACGATCACATCCGAAGTTCAACTTTACTGCTAACGGCGCATGCTCTTGGGCAAAAAGTTTTTAAGAGCGTCCCAGGGGATTAAATATGTTATTTTCCACGAGAATAAGACCACGATTCGAATTCACTTTGAACGTATGAAAAAGGTTAATTTCGACGGTCGCTAGCTCAGTGACTAGTCAAAAAAATACATTTACTACTACCAATATATAGTACATTATTATCTATAATATAACGCACATGCATCAAAGCAAAAATGCTTTCATAGTAGTTTTGTGTTTTGTGTGTGAAATAATGTTCGACTTCTTCTCAACTTGAATTGCTTTCATCACGGCATATTTTTAATACTTCGGCCTGACTCCACTGTGTGAGAGTTGAATTTGTCTGCTTGCCTCCTAATGTGTATGTATAAATGCATTTTGTATGAACCACAAATAGAATGAGGAGCAGAGCCCAAATCGAGTATCCTCTTTGGCCTTACTGCTGTGTATGGTAGTTTGCGTTGAGTAGCATCTCTTTATTTACGCGATTATCGGTGGTGCAGTAAGTCCGGTTGCCGCGTCCGACGTAGCGCTAAGTTCCCGCAATTCAGGACGGCGATAAAAAGCATGCTACTGTATCTTGCATCGCAACGATCGGTCGCATTCCCGCGAAGTTGCACTTCTCGCTCACACTTGGGAAGCAGCGGTGTTAGGTGTTTACCCTTCACCCCTCTCCCGCCCATCAGCTTAGACGTGCGGGGGCCGTTCTGGGCTACGTGGTAGGAGCCCAAAGAGGCCAATGATTCAGCGAGGATAACGTTGCGACTATTACTGCCGTCTGACTGGCGAAAAAAGAAAAGGAGATGATACAAGGTGCGCACGGATCTGGCAGTGCTCGGTGTAGCAGTCGTCAGCGAAGAAGATAAGCGAGACAAAGGTTGCCAGCGACAGAAGCAAGCACTCAGACAAACAGTAGGCGGGCCGGCCATTTACGTAACGGATGGTAGACGGTAACGAACAGAAAGGTTTTCCGGAGAGGAATGCGGGTCTTTAGGGTCGAGTGGAGTGCTGAGCTGAAAACTACAACGTAATATACGTCTGTAGCACAAAGTTTCTCTTATGCCACTGCTTTTAACTAGCCGTGTAGCTATGCTTACTGTGTAGAGTAACAAGGCTATTTTTTGAATCTGAAGTTTTGTTACGAAGATTTTGAGACTGATTTTGTGAGAACTTCAGATACTATGTAGCAATTCAACTCATGATAGGATTCATCGTCAACGCTTTTAACTACATAGTTTACTAAGTTGGTTGGGAATATATTCTCGTTATATTATATTTACTTTTCTGCAAAATCCTATTAATAATATCAATTAACAATGATAATTAGTTATGTTTAACATATCGTATGCGCCTTGGTGAACATCTTTATATAATTGTGTCCACTGTTTAGATTCTTGTCAAAGAATAAAACGGTTTATTTGCACATCGAGACCTGACAAACGTACAACGTAAAACTAAAATCCTTATTTCTGGATCATTCAGCCTCGTAGCGAGAACGCCCGTCAAACAAGCCCGTCGTTGATCGCCGCTTTTGCATGTGTACATGCCCCTAGGAAATTCAAGGATATGCCTATACGATGCGATTACATTTCGACGTACTTCCTGGAATGCTTTTTAGGGATTGGCGAATGTCCATAGCACACTAGCGCAGTCTAGGCAATGCCGTCCGGTTGCGTTCGTCCTTTATAGGAATCGGATTCCCTATAACCTACCCGTTAAACAAATCAGTTTCGGTTCGTCATGGATCTCCTGTTGCAAATCACATTAGTCAGCCTAAAAATGCGAAGTTACTATTCGGCAGAAAGTGGATCCATTCAAGCTGTTCTTTTCTGAGTGTCGTTCGAGTTCATTGCGCCGGTACAACTTTAACTACCTGGTTACGGTGAATGAAATAACAAATGCAGTCGGTATAAGGTCGCCAAATTATAGAGATGAGACATTGGCTGTGGTACGGGACTTGGCCCTATGTTTCGTATATGAAAACTACATTAAAGAGCACATAGTGAAACTTGTTTGATTCACAAACTAACAATATAAAATCCTTAATACATCGTACGAGGGATATCACCTCTTAGATGCATTTGAACCTTTTTTCTTTAGGAGCAACGAAAAGCTCTTAGTTACGAAATTAAGTTAGTTTATATCACGTTTCAACATAAACGGAACATGTACGAAAACGTTTGTACATGAATTAAGTTGTAGTAGCGAACGTTGGAGAAAACGCTCGTTAGCAAAGTCCTATTTGTCCCTTTTTAGTAATCACACCAACAATGGTAGAAAAATTAGTTTCTTTCTGATGCCATCGCCATGTTCGATAAGCGCGTCCTACACTTTTACCTGAACCAGCCCGCTAACGACAGTAACCAAATTGAAGATCGATGTCTACCAGTGGAAGGTCGACATTAATTTCACTTTTTCTTTCCGTATAGGTAATTAACCTCTGACGTTTTCATCGTTTTCCCCTGTTAAAGAAGAAGGTGACTCTTGGTGTTATTGTGGCACGTTCTTGGCGTTCCCGCCTTCAGAGTTTTCGGTTAGCAACCTTTTCCTGCCTTCTTCTTTTGATAGCCGCTTACTTCTACCCCCCTCTTTTAAGACTGCTTTCGTGCTTCGCCTTTGTGACTCCTTTGCTTGAGTTCTCCTGTTCGGATGTCTCGGCACCGCCCGCCTGTTATTTGCCGATGCGCTGTTCCAAAAACCGCACCGCTTCATTTAAAACAATTCCCATGGCGCTCGAGGAGCGTCTGAAGCTACGGCGGCGGTAGGGACGGTGGCGGCCGCTCTAGCAGCTGCAAGAATGAGGACACACTACCGACATCTTGCTCCAAACCACTTCAGAGCTTTTGAATGAGCCAGGACTGGCGCGGGAAGAGGGGTTCGAAAGCGGGGAAATCTTCTTCCGGATTCTCTCGCTCGGCAAAATTGTGCTATGTACTGAACTTGCCTAAGCCTCAGGTTCTGAGTCCTCCTCCAGACCACGGTACAGGCCACATGTGCCGTGCTGCTATTTCTGCTACGTTTACATGAATATAATTGCCAAAAACTGGACTCATTTTATTTTTGTAGATTGAATGACTTGAATCAGGATGACCGACTAAATGGTAAAATATAGCGAGGGACAAACACAGCGAAAGCAGAGAGCACCGCCGGACAGGACGCAGTGGCACGGTATACTTGACTGTCCGGCATCAAGCCTACAAGTGGAAAAAGCGGAAACTATGTAGGTAGGTAGGTAGAAACCCAAGAAAATATTTAATGACACAAAGACGTATATGGGTGGTTGCGGCAGCATTCCTTGATTTGAACAGTCTCAAGAAGGGAAAGTAGATTACGAAGCGTTGTGTGGTCTGGAATTATGCCCTTCCTGATACGTCCCTGGCTTTCACGTACATGCTGCAGTGCACAGCTTCATGTACCAATTTCAGATGTCTAGTTTTATAATGGAACCTAGCCGTACACTTGGC